TTGTCCACAGAGAGAGAGAGATGGAACTTACTATGGAACTGAATAGAAAAGCACTAAATGAGGAAAAAAAAACCCTACAATCCCTCTAGAAGAGGTTTAAAGGGAATTCTTCCCTCCAACAAAAATAACTTTAAAAGATCACCGGGATATACAGCACAGGAACAGAGCATAGGTCTCCTCCTTGCCTCTCCAGTGCGCTTCAACTCAAACCCTAGACTGGTCAGTCTAGAGGTTGAAGGTTCAGCCCCTTTCAGTGCACAGCTGATCATCGGGAACTTCTCCATACATGTCCAAAGAAATGCAAATTACTGCCGGCTGTGATTTGTGCCCTTGTCAAGTTGGAACAAGAGAGCGGCATCACCTTTCCTGTGTGGTCATTAATGTGCTGCCATAAAATAAAAAGGTTCGATATTGATGCAGGTCCGCCCTGAACTAGATATGAATAATTTTGCATTCCAGTGCCTTTCCATACTATCCCTAGTCATAGGCACATCAGACAGTTATGTCCTAAATCAGCAAATCCAATTTCCTGCTATCTCAGTCCCGTCACTCTGTGTAATCCTTTAATGATTAAGCTACTCTTGTTTAAAAGAACTGCTTGCTTTAGAATAGTGCAACTGCTCTTTCATAGCCCTCAGCACACAATCACTTGATTCTGTTGCTAAATAGATGAAAACATATCTCTGATGCAGAATGTCATCAGGAAAGCAGACAGGAAACATGTTTACAGAAATAGCTCCGTGATCCAGTCCATGCCCATCAGACACTGCCACCCTCATGCAGTAACGTTGTCAGAAGTCTGATGGGAGCCAAAAGCTTCCATAGAAGTTAAAAGGGGAAACGAGACATGCAAACCAGACTTCCCTCTCAAGTTTATTCCTCAGGCTGCAAACTGTTTTGGGGCAAAAGCATGGAACAACGCCCAGCCCCCACCTTGCACAGCGAGGCCAGAGATCCTCAGTGGAGTCACTGGTGCTGCTGCTACAGCGTGAGGCAGAAAATCAAGCTGGAAGAGTCTCCCCTTTCTTGCCCTGTGTGCTTCAAGAAGAGCTGCTGGCAGCAGTAGCTCACCTGTTGACTGCTGCAGTATTTTTCTCAAAACTCTCTAGGCCAGCTGGATGAAAAATACCGAGTCAATTACAGTTACTATTAATATTCCACTGAAAAAGAGATTAGGATCATGTCATCCTTTTCAACATTCAAAAAGGTAAATAAATAATTCCTCACAAATTCGTACAGAAACTCCAAAGACTCAACCCCTTTGAAAACTCACTTTTATTAAGAGACCCAAATGAAGATACAGGTATTTTACCTGAGTTTTAAAACACTTTGTAAGGCTGATTTCTAGAATTCTGTTCTCTGCTTTGTGAAGTTATATCAACGCTGTTTTCCTTAATCTACCCTGGACTTGGTGGAGGTAAATTTCCAATTAGTGTTTTCTTTCTTTTTTTTGCAGAAGCTGTACTGCATCATAGACATCACCTAATTTTGTCAAGTGCCTATAGGTCAGGGATCTGGCATGTGTCATTTCACCTCTGAGAGGATATTTCCAGTAAATGTAGTTTTCAGTTTGTACTTAAAAATGGACGTTGAGATGACTCAAAAACTTCATGGTAAATTGCAAGTGAACTTTAAAAATTTGATTTGGCAAAGATAGTGCATGTTCGGTGTGTTACAGTATGATAATCAGTAGCTGTCTAAAGAGGTGATCA